CGGCCGTTCCCAATTCGGGTAGCTCGCAGCAGTCCGTACAAAATGATTTAAGAAGGGGATTCGGTAAATGTGAACGTTCTCACGACTAAATGATCCGCCGAGCTAAACGGATCAAAACGCGTATTAGTAAATTTCACGGAATGAGGAGTGACAATGCGAAATAACGAGAGCTCAAATTTAATAACAATAATTTTAATCAGAATAACAATAACTGCATTTAAAAGAAATAACAATAATCTTAATTAACGAAAACAACTCAGAAATACAAACATAATAATAACAATCCTTCCGTTCGTCTAACGATCGACAAAATCACTCGGCTCCCGTGAAGAAGTACGAATCGAGAAGAGTGCCATCCGATTCGTCTTCACTAGTACTACCGCGCTACGAAATACAACAAAATAGCGCCCATAACAAAAGAAAATCGAAAACGATCGCGGACGATGAGATAGTAGCTGGCAAATTTGCTGTGCTACCCGATTAACGAAAATTCCCGGAACATGTGAGAGAGAGAGAGAGAGAGAGAGAGAGAGAGAGTGAGAATCTAAACACCGGCCTCGTCCACCTGCCCTCAGCTTTTCCGTTGCTCCTTTGTCCCTTGAGCTTCTTCCTGTGTGTGTGTCGGTGTGTGTGTTACTGTTGTTTCCGGTATCGGTGTTGTTGTTTCTGTTGTTGATGTTATTGTTGTTGCTGTTACTGTAGCCGTTGCTATTGTTACTTTTGCTGTAGTTGTTGTATTGTTGCTATTGTTGTTGTGGTTGCTCGTCCGCCTCCTCTCTCTCCAAAACTCAGCCAAACCTCAAAATCTCTCCTTACCCCAAAATCGACACAAAAGTTCGCTTAACAATAGTCGCTCACGCTAAAAACCTCACGCGCACCGGTGTGGGTTTCCAAACGATTGGGTAGCTGGGGGCGACCCAGCCAATTTCTCCTTCTTTCACAGACAAACTCCCGCACACCGGGCGCGAATCCTTAAACTAAAAACGTTGGCGAGGGCGCGGGAAAGCTCAGTTTAATAACGGAAAATCGGTAGTCGGAAGCGGGCGTGACGGCCTATACTAATTCCTAGTACGTACTGCCTCCGAAATCAGGCGGTTGCAATCACGACGCTCTCAGGAAGCTCGATTATGGTCCGCTTAGCAAAAACATAAGTGATGCACATGGTGCACCATATAGCCGTGAGGCTGGCCAGGTCACTTTGTGCAAAAATCTTTTGTCAAAGCGGCGGACAGTAATTGTCTTCCTCAACAGAGAACGGAGACTTCTTAAACGAACTTCGTTGTTTTGGGAGAGGATGTCGTAAACTTCTCTTTCCTGTACGGGCATATGCAAATGCAAATGCTGAAGTACAAAATGCGTCACCGATTGCCCTCGACAAGCAACTAATGCTAGTCGACCCGAAGTGAATGCAATGTGTATTTGAACGAAGACTTGCAATCACAAGTGCGGATGTGTGTACCATCACGTGGTGGGGCTGAAAATGCTGTCTCTGTAAAGAAACAGTAGGCAAAACACACAACGCTTGCCACTAAGGCAAAAGGCCAATCGGCCAAACAAAAATAAACAACACGGACCATGATAACACGTGGTGAGGTGCAGCCCGTAAAAGCCCAAACATTCAACGCGGAGTCTACCACACCCCAAGAGCTCAACTCGAGCACAGAAAAGCCAAAATCCGGGAGTTACTTGAGGGGAAATCTATCGGATTGTGGTACCGCGCGCCCTCTTAGAGGACGGGAGACCGCTCCGGGAACTTGTTGCAGAGGACCAATGGTCCCGGCAATCCGAATTTAATTCGGGTAGATAATAAATTACCCCCTATCGACTGGCAATCGATAGGTGCCACTATGGTGGGTAAAGAGTCGCGGTCGTGGTCATAGCAGCCACCCAAAGTTCTTTGCCTCGAGCTCCTGGAGTAAGGCCCGACACCTTTGTGTGGGAAAACACAATTTGAACGCTAATTTCGAACGCTAAAACGCCTGATTTAAGCTTGGATCTCGGAAATTGATTCGAATGAGTGGCATGACTGGCACAAATATTGAAAACTGCCTGGGGAGTCGCCTTGTCGGCTAGGCGAGACCCCGCCCTTGACCCAAGTCAAAAAATATTAATCGAAAGAGCAGAGATCAATATCAGCGAGTCATAAAAGCCTTCCATAGAAAGCGAAATCCAAGACTCGAGCGAAAATCAGGATACAACTTTCTTTTCGAATAATATTATATATCCCTGCTCACGCTGGTGGGTATCCAGCGTGAGCGGGGATGACCGAAACGCAATGGGGTGACGCGCCATGGCACCTCGAAGCGATGGATCTGTGAGTCGCGGGAGCAACCCCTTAATACAGGTACGCAGGGTGGGATGTTCTTCGAACGCGAACCCAGGAGGGGAGGCTTAGCTGATTGATCGTCTTAGGAATTTCCTCCGGCTGTCCTAGCTGAGTCTCTCTTCTGACATCCCAATTTGGGTTGGCCTCTGCTGGGTAGTGGTACCAGGTCAAGCAAATCTCGTAAAATTTGTATGCTGCGTGCTTCCGACGTAGTAGACGTTGGGGCAACTAGAGTCCCGTCGCGCCCAAACCGAGGGTCAAGCCTTTAGTTCCGCTCTCCTTGAGCGTCGAACCGTGAAAAGATCGGTACTCCTTTCCAGGAGGTCACCGCCTTAGATCAGAAAGGTTCCGACTCGCTGTGTGCGTCAGGGATATCGTAGCAAACTTGACTTCCGGATCTCCAATGTATTTGAAAGCGAAGGTGTGAAAGACAGTGGGCTATGCCAACCTATTGGCGCCCAGAGAGAGGGGTGGTAATGTTTGATTACGCTGCGCCACCCTCCAAGCGGAAAAGTGTGAACAACACACATACACTAACTGCCTCCGAAATCAATGCGAGGGTGCACGCTCAATTTCTTAGTTCTTCTATCTTCTGTCTCCCTCTCTTTACTCTTCTGTCTCTCTTTCTCTCCTCGCTCTTCTCTGCCTGCTGCCTGTGCTCTCTTTCGTTACTCGCCCTAGCACCGCATCTTGGGAGAAAAAAGGCTTGCATGAATGTGTGCTCTCAACGCACACACTCGCAGCCTGATACGGTGCGCGGATCCTGATGAGAGCCTGACGGTAAAAACGATGGTCATACCGCGATTCTCCATCATATAACAAATATTACATAACTCTTCAACGAGTGTGCAAGAGAAGCGAAGAAGTATAGCGGATGCTCTGCATCTGATCGCATCTCGTTTAATAATATATAGGCTAGTTTGTGAATATTATACTCTCACTTATTAGAGTAAATAGTACAATTAAATTCTGTATTTCTTTGCAAAATAATTGATTCTAGAGAACATTATAATTTAGCAACAACAAAAATATACCGTGAAGGGAGTGAGTTTTATGATAAATAAACATGGAAAATACTTCAAGTTAGTTAAATAAATTTATGCTTCTAAACATTTTATAATCGTTTTAGTGATTAGAAATGAATATAGAAAACAAACTTTTTTATGAATCATTATAAGTTAAAAAAGAGTAATGGCTTATTGATTTCTGCAGATAGCCAGAACATAGCTAGCATGTTGGTGGATAGATTAATTTATATCATATAATCAAATCAGAGAAACATTTTTAATTACTGAAATATAACTTGTGAATCACATTTTGTTTATATTATTTTGATAATTTTGATTTAATTTTTTAACTCTTCTTGTTCAAATTCTTTTACTATTATAAGGATTTTCATAAACTGTGATGATCGAAGAGAGTGACAATCAATGATTTTTCTGGCATAAGCGACAAGGGTATGAACTAATATCGTTATATCTCGTCGTTTCATCTAGTAAATACCGTGAGAGAAAAGGGTTATACATATATTTATTGCACACTCACCAAATCGTATTGTACTACTGTGGGCAAAAAGTAAGGTGAATTTTCAATTTAAACTTCGCGGGCTTAACATTTCGGGCTAGTTCTTTTTTTCTTGAGTTGGTAGGACTGCGAATGACATCTGAGACAAATTTCATGTCAATGTCATCATCAGTAATATATTTACGCTTGTGTTTACCAAACGACCAAGAGTGCATGTTTCGATTTTTACAATGTCTGATTTAATTGAGCAAAGAAGTGCCATCAAATTTTGTTTGCGGAATGAAATTTCGGCTGCGGAAACGTTGAGGATGTTGCGGAAGGCCTTTGGTGATTCTACCATGTCGCAGAAAAATGTTTATAAGTGGTACAAAGACTTCAAAGAGGGTCGAGAACGTGTTGATGACTTGGAGCGCTCCGGACGACCATCGACGTCAACAGATGACCAACACGTCAATAAAGTGAAGGAATTAGTGCTCGAAAATCGTCGGTTGACTGTTAGAGACCTTACTGATATGATCGGAATATCAGAAGGATCTGTGAAAACAATTTTGAAAGACCATTTGGGCCTACGAAAAGTCAAATCTCGTTTGGTACCGAAAACGCTCAATTTCTTGCAAAAAATTCGCCAAAAATTCGACGCATATCGTTCCGCAACCACCGTATTCGCCTGATTTGGCTCCGTGTGACGTCTGGCTATTCCCAAAACTCAAGAGACCACTCCGGGGAACGCGTTTCGAGTCGATTGAGGAGATAAGAGCTGAATCGAAGAAGGCGCTGATGGCTATACTGGAAAGGGACTATTTGGCATGTTTCGAGGATTGGAAAAAACGTTGGCATAAGTGTATTTTATCGGGAGGGGATTACTTCGAAGGGGATGACATTGATGTAGAAGAATAAATAAAGATTTTTCATTTTACAAACAAATTCACCTTACTTTTTGCCCACAGTAGTATGTTATCATTATCAAACTGTTTGATAAATAAATACTAATCATTTTTTCAAAAACAGTCACTGATCACAGGATTTGAACATTGGTGTCTCACATAAAAGTATAATACTCTGTATAAGTCCTCTCACTTCGTATTTTGTATTTTGATTATGATTAACATATTCTAAGCTCAAATCTTATTAAAATGCATAAAATACTCACTTAAACTAAGTTTACCACCAAAAATTGTTCGGTCGAATGCATCTTTCCATTTAAATGGAATTTGAAGTTCATTTATCGGAAGTTTTCCCTCTAAACTGCAGATTTGATCATAATATCTGGAACGTACGTTAAGTTATGATTAAATATTTCATTTTTTTCGTCATATATAGCTAGATTGTTGTAAATATTTCTATTTTCTTTATAAATATGTACAAATGTATTCATGAAAAAACATTAATTTCTAGGGATAAACTTTATATTTACGTAAGCACTTTATGTTCAAATAATGAATTAATTAATGTGGCTAAAAGCACTATATTTCTATTACGTTTCGATAACACAGGCCAACACGTCTCAAACCCACAGACTAGATCTGAAATATCGTTTAAGCAGAGAGAGATTTCACCTCAAAATAATCTTCGTTAAAAAATAAAATATAATTCCAAGTACCTTAACCAAAGTACGCTGTAACCTGCAATGCAATAACTCCCGATTGCTACATCTCAAGTTCCTTAACCAAAGAATTCTATACCCTGGTAGGTAATAACCTCAGTCTGCTACACCCAAAGTATCTTAACCCAAGATCCCTGTACCCTGTAATAACCCCCGACCACTAAATCCCAAGTTTCTAAACCTACTAATCCTGTACTCTACTAGGTTTACCACTATTATCTTTCAGCAAAACTTTCCTCTGCTTAAACGACATTTACGAAAATGAAAACTTATCATACTTCAATATGTCATATCTCTGTTGAAAAAAAATGGTATTGAAAAAAAATAAGGAGTATTATTTAAATCGTAAGAGTTGTTCTAAGATGCCGTTGTTAAATTTGTTAAAGAATATTTTTTTATAAAGTTACAGGGGTTGGAAAACAGCAAAAAACGTATTTTTAATGTATTTTGGTTAGGATACCTCGAAAACTAAGGGCGATAAAGCAATTCTGACCTTAGATTCGAATTCAACGCATGAAATTTTTTTGGTATATGAAGTATCCTGTCTGGTCTCTGAGTTCGGACTTTTTTCAAACTTTGTCGGCCTGTGTAATTGATATATTGGTCTATTTTCTATAATAATCCATACAGAATCTCATTCTAGTAGTTATCAATAAATTTTCTATAATTTTATCAGAGTAATCATGATTAGGTCGAAGGGTAATGTAACTAATATATTTTTAAAAACATTATACTCAATAAATTTTAAGATTTCTTAGAATATTATAATTTTTTGTTATTCTTGATTTATTGTTCGTACAGGATTACTTCGATAATTGACCAAAAATGATTCTTAAACGCATATTAAACTTTATGAGATACCGCAGGATAGGTACCTGTCACGAATGCATATTAAAAAGATGATTTGTTATTACAGTATAATACCAAATTGGCCGATATCACCATTGGTGGTTCTTAAGTTAATGTGTTGTTACACACTTACGCTTGGTTTATTCTGTTAAGGTACCACAAACGTCAAGATGCACCAAGCAGTCGGAAGACAGAAACGAGAGAGGGAAGAAGTGGAAGTGACGATAAAGAGTTAACCTTGTTTACTTTCGAAAATAAACATGAGAAGGAGAGAGAGAGAAAGAAGTAAGGAGAAGAATAGGTGTGCAAGAGTGTGAAATATCGGCAACAGTTAGGCATTCTTTCCAATCCATGCACTTATCATACTGATTACTCACACAGCACCCACACATTCACCATACTCAAGGTTGTAACGGGGGGATAAATCTGCAAAATGAGAAATTTATTTAAGAACAAACTCCCACGATGCAGAGCAAACCGCCGCTCCGTTAACACGTATGTTAATACGTGTATTCGCCTTAACGTCAGCTGACTTAACTTAGTTGTCTTCGATCAAGCAGAGTTGAATTCACCTTAAGTCACGTGCCTTGTGACATACGATGAGTTTTAAGTGTAAGCGACTTTACTCCTAATCCACTTGATCCCCTAGCTATAATAGGATTAAAACCTAAGCTTTTTCTAATTGTTTAAACTACTAGGAAAAATTATATGACGAAATCGGCGAATAAGTTTAATAGATTTTATTAATAAAAATCTCTACAGTCTTTGTCGGGCCGAAAGACTGACGCACGCGAATAGGATTTACAATTAAATAACTTGTGGTGAGAAAGAGAGAGAGAGAAGATACGAATATTGGCGCGATCTAACGCTCGACGCGAATACAAAAAATTAACGCTAACACCGTTGGACAAAATATCAAATGTATTTTGTCACGCGATAATTAAGGGAGGTGCACCTACCCTGCGGTGCAATTACGGTGATCAGCCGTAATTGTTGAAGCAAATTAAAGGTGCTCCTCAGATCCGAATCAGCTATGCTGCCTCGTTCGCAAATCTGCTGTATAATTGCTGTCACTTTTGCTGCTGCTTCCGTGATGCTGCTACTGTTGCTGTTTCCTCGCTCACCCTTGTACACGTATCCAAAATCCAAGTAAACTATTTATTGGCAAATCGGTGAAACACTGTGCTAAACTATTTTGGCGGTACTACACACGTAACAGCTGAGACGTAACTGCTAATTCAAAAGATCGCGCGCCCCCTCTCTCTCTCAATACTTAGAACTAACGCGCGAAAATCAGAATCGCGAACGGTTCGATTAATTGAATCGACTACCGTTGCAAGGTATGTATATTATTTATAAGTGAACGCATGCAGCATTCAACCCAGAGACACTCAGCTGTCGGTGAGGCAGAAGATGCTCCTTGCGAATCATTATGTCGTACGCGAGCCAGCGAGAGGTCGAGCCTCCTGACATTGTTAAGCTCCAGAACTCAACAGACACGTTTCCAATACGTAATTACGACTGCATCCACCAGCTTCTTTCTCTATCTCTTTCTTCCCTATAAACATGTGTGGGTGGCACTACGTTCATGTAGATTAGTATGTACGATAATATGACGACTGACCTGTAATATTATAAAATTTATTTCAATGCATTCAAATTTTGAGATAAATTCTAGTTTAGGTAGTTTTTAGTTTAGTTTAAGAATGTTGAATGTAAAAGAAGGAATTATATCATACAAGAGTTAGTATGTGAATTAACATATTAGTTTGACGTAACTCTAATCTCGAGTCATTTTTCTCTTAAATAACGTAACTATTTACAAACTTACTTTTGACAATTTTATCATATAGTACAGTCAGGTTAAATGATAACAACGGCTAATCCAAATTATAGCATTTAAATGAATGATAAGAATTGATCAGTTGATTATTACTCATGTAAAAGAAGAGTTAGTTTATCGAATTAAAACTTCAGCCTATGACTCTGTTTATTAATTATTTTTACGCGGGGAAGGAAGACACCGATGCTCTAGAAATTAAGTGGCCTGACGGGTATGCAATTGACGATGCATGAATGTGTGTTTCATTTTTTATTGCTTTCTTAAATTTACTTTAAAATATACTAGTTGAAAAAATTAAAGGATCAAAAAAAAAATTCCAAATTTTTTGACGTTTTTTAACTGGCTGTATTTGCCTTAAAAATGGTCGTACTGGAATTAAAAAAAAAGAATTTTCAAGTTTGAAGTTTCTAGTTTTGAAATCTCATAATCAAAAAATTTTTCAAGGAACATGTTTTGCTAATCCTCATGAATACCAAAAAAATTTTATTATAAAATTTTATTATAAAATTTTTTTAGTTTTTTTTTTTAGTCTATGAACTTGGAAAAAATTTTTCTAACTCAGCCACTATATGGATCGGATAACTTGTTTCTTCAGCTTTAATTTGCATTTTTGAAAAGTTCAATACCACCACCTCTTGCTGAGATATCGAACTTTGAATGGAAAAGGATCTTTTTGTCTTTAACCGTCAATATCTTAGCAACCGCTGATTGCACAAAAAATGAAGGTAGGTTTTGGAATCTTGAATAAATTTCCCAAAAAACTGTAGTACTGTTTTTGAAAAAAAAATTTTTTTTCATTCTATACTGTAACGGTCCAGTCTGATTTGTCTCTTATTTCCTTCTGCAAAATAGCTACCCGTCATACACAAGACAATCAAAGAAAAGCGGTAATGGAGCAAAGGCGCTTTTCTCACGTATATGCAAATGTGTTAGGGCAACTCTGCGAAAATATTACCATATAAGGAGCGTGACGTCACGACCATGGGAAAATTTATTGTTTACAATAGAAAATCGACAAGTATAAAGTTTTTCGAATAAACTAAAGTATTTTTTAGTCAATTTTGATGCGCTGATCCTGAATTTGATGTTGTTATAACTCTCAAGTCGATATTTGTTAGTCAAATTTAATCTACAAGTTAATATTGTTAGTTATTTTGCAATAAACAATTATATTGTTCATTCGAGTATGCGATTACGACCTCGACGTATTGAAACAGAAAAGCAAGAATTTGACACATTGATAACTAATTATTCACTAAGTTATCAATAAATAAAAAATTTATAATTTTTTTAAACAATTAAAATTGCACTGTTAGATAGCGAATCGATCGTACGTATCTGTAAAATTAATGATTATGATTGTAACTAATTTGCTGATTTTTAAATCCTTAAAAAAGAAATTTGCAAATCCGTTTTTTATTATTATTCAAAATTAGATAGCTACATTAATCATTTTTAACTTGAATAACGTTCCTCTAATTACAAGCGATTTTTTCATGTAAAATCTTTCCATAAATTTATTGTAAAATTGGCGTAATTTAATCATTGAATTGTATAACTTATAACTTTAGAAGGCGATTTTTCGTCGAGAAGCGATTTATGTTAAAAAATTCATCTTTTCATATTTAATTTTTTAAATCATAAGATTGCAATTTCAATCGAGCCATTTTGCGACAAAACATGTGCAAATTTTGTATCAATTTCGAAAATAGCGTTGTAGGGGCTACCAAGCGTAGAAAGGAGCCCAATTCGCAAGTATAAATTCGCTCGTCGCTGCGGCAAGAGGACTCACTATCCTACCTTGTTTAGCAGCGCGAGCACTGTTAGAGAAATAAAGCCTCAGCAATTTCCTGAGATAAATTTCTTATTCAGTGGTTAGCCTGCTAAACTCCTATCCTATAGATATCTAAGCGCTCAACTCATGAGACTATCTCTCTCATGAGAAAAAAGCAGCCTTAGATATCTTCCTAC